TAACTTAAAAGCCAAATTCTAAGAACTTAAAACAAGGTAAACCCAGGCACACGGTGAGAACCTGATGGTCAGTGGCAAGGTAGGGTCTGTGAGAAAAAGTCAAAGGATTGGGACCGTTTGACCAACATTTGCTTGGATAGCACTGAGTGATTTTTCTTCTTTGCAGTAGAAGGAATGATGGAGACATTTTTTTAAAATTGAGGTCGTATTTAGACTAGATGCTAGGAAGAACGGTTGCCATGGGGAGAATAAGATGGGGAGGGGACTGCTGTGGGTGGTAGGGAGCTCCCCGTCACTGTGGGATATGTTAGAGTTGAGAGGGGCTGCTGCTGCTCCAGTCGGGTTGGGGTGCTGTTTTATTTACTTCCCTCGGCCTTCCAAGGGAACTTGGGGACTTTCAGGACGGGGTAGGGGAGTGATCTTCCTGGAATGACTTCTGGGTAGTCCTGCGTCTGAGCAGGAAGGAGAAGATTGGATGCCGTCCCAAGGTCCTTTTGTTCAGGACCCTGTGATTCTGCGATTCCTAGACACCTTTGAACATTCAGATCCTCTCCTGTGTATGCTGAACCAAGAGCCATCCTAATATTTGCTCAGAGTGCCCGGGCCTTTCACAAACTCCTTCTTTCTTCAAGCACTTCAGAGAAGCCTAATCTGCCTTCAATGCTAAGCTAAGGTACCACCTCCTCCAGGCAGCCTGCTCAAACCCTCCAGCTGTCAGAGCTGCCTTCTTCCACACCATTTGTAATCATTATCTGATAGATTCTTTGTGCCCTACTTTATATTATACAGTTATCCCTATCACATCGTGGGGGTTAGGGGCCCAGCACCCCACAATCTAGAAAATCCATGTAAAAATTGTTGGCCCTCCCTCCATATTAAAGAAGTCTAAATGATTATGGTATTAAAATATGAAACATGTTGATATTATCCAATACTTTACATATATTTTATGCATTTCTGAGTTTCTAAACATATTCAGCATTGTCTGCTGGCATCTGCATGTCATCTGCAGCTTCTGCAAAACTCCCCGAAATTCCCGTTTAATTTCTTATGCCGGCCCGAGATATATTGAAACCACCACAGACGAAGCTGAGATATGGAAGGGCTAACTGTACTTCTCTCTGTATATGTTCTAGCTACACAGTCAAACGTCAGCTCCTTCATGCAGAGACTGGTTTTGATTCAGTCTCTTTATCAACACTACCTAAGCACAATGAATTGAATTGAATTGAATTATATTATCATGGAGTTAGAGTTGGAGGGGCCTTAGTAGCCATCATTCCCCCATTTTACAGATGAGGAAACTGAGGCGCTGAGAGGTGACTTGCCCAGGGTCTCCCAGCTATTAAGTGTCTGAGGTGGGATTCGAACTCAGCTCTGGGGCCTAGCTGCCCCAGTCAACATTTTTCTTTGTTGTTTTTCCTATCCACTACTCTAATGAGGTGCAGACTTGAGGGTTTAGCCATGAAAGGATTTCCTAGTGATAAAATTCAGCGACCCCCTTGTAACTTGGGGCTCTGGAGAGATGCCCAGATCAAGCTTCGCGGTTCATTGACTTCCCCAACGTCACCTGGCCAGGTGGGATTTGAACTCAGGTCTTCTTGACTCACCTGCCATTTCCCAGCTGCCTCATGCAACCTCTTGGCTTCTGGCCTTCGGAAGCTTGTATAAAATAAAGCTTAGGCAATACTTTAATATTTGAAAATTATCCCCCAAGACAAAGCATAGTGGCACTACAATAATCATCTCAGCTCTTCAATGAAAAGTTCAAGTTAAATCCCATAACCACGCAGATCACCTTTTATCCTGGCATCCCATTTTCACCATCCCCCATGCCTACCATGCACATGGAGAAGGCTCTTGGATGGACACTGCTGGTCATTTCCTGTGGCCAGCACCCAAGAATGCCAAAGTCTCTGTTCTTCAGTTTAGACTTGGCTTTCTCACAGGTTCTAGCCAATTCCCTCTCCTCTGTAGTGGGCTGTCCTCGAGGGACTTGCTTAGTCATGCGGCTAGGGTCATGACAAAAACCATCTTATTCCTCCATGAGGAGGTTTTAAGATGCCCTCCGTAAACAGGTAGGACCGGGCACAGTCACTCATTGTCCTTTTGTGACTCAGCCTCACCCAAGGGCCAGTGTGAGTGCATCAGGAAAAAGACAGCACTCAGACCCTGAAAACCTTGGTTCTACTCATGGCTTTGCTGCTAGCTACCTGTGTGACCTTGGCTAAATGATGCCCCTTCTCTGGGCCTTAGTTTATTCATCTGTAGAATGGGAGTCACTAATACTGGGCCTCTCTGTTGTGTTGTTTGTTTTGGGTGTGACTCAGATAAGTTGTCATGGCAGACAGGTATTAGACTGCTTTGTCAGTTGCTGTACAAATGTTTTCCATCTCTAGCCAGGCTAGAAAAACTACCCTTTCTGAAGCCCCCACTCCAACGTGACCTTCAGTTGTCCTCTGGGTGTAATTCAGTTCAATGAGCATTTATTAAGCTCCTGAGATGTGCCAGACTCTGTGTTTTATGCTGGAGATATGAGAAAAACGAAACCACCCCTGCCTTCAGGGAGCTTCCATTCTACCATCTATATCATGCCTCCTTAGCAGACAGTCTCTTGTCCCAGAGCCCACTGGCTCTGCAGGGGCGATCCCATTGGTTATTCCCTACCCTCAACCCTTTCTAAGCTGACTCTGGTCCACTGCTGCCCAGCTGCTGCCTCTGTAGACCCTCTGACTTGGGTCATATTGTCTCTGCTCCTCATTGGTCCTTCCCAAACCTTCCCTCTTCTGTCTCTCCCCACCCTCGCTCCCATCACCACTTCACAGAAGCCATGAATCCACAAGAATTTCCAGAACCCCGCTTCAAATGGGGTCATCGTTTTTGTCTACCAGGAAACAGACTTCCAATACAATAGGTTATAGGGAAAAGAGGTATTTCTTCCTGTTTGTACCATGTAAACTTAGCCCTGTTGGTTTAGAGGCATTGATGTTTACACAACTCGGTATAAAATGCTCCCCAGTAGAGATTAAGTCAGCAAAAATTGTGACAAGCTAGAAATCATTTGCTAAAACTGAAATCACTCCAAAAAGCTATTTTGGAAAGCTCAGAAAACCTGTGCATCCTTTTCCTGCGTCCTTGGTCCAAAGTCACTTTACCTGGCTGATTACTATCCTCTGAAGTCTTTCCATACCAGTGCAAATACCCAGAGCCAGAACTGGGACAGGGCAGCTATGGTTTTGCCCCAGGGTGTAGACATTTAGAAAGTGCTGACCACATCTGTAGTTGTTCAGCCTGTGAGCTTGGCTTCCAGTTGGCAAAAAAAAATTAGTTAAGATAAGATGCTCCCAGAAGGCGTATTTCCTCATAAGACCATAGATGGTAGATCTATGCCTGCCCTCAGGGAGCTCCTACTCTAATGGGGAAGATAACACAGGAACAAGACTTGTAAGATAAATGGAGATAATTAACAGAAGGAAGGCGCTGGCATTTATATATATTATGTGTACATAGTTATTTGCCTGTTGTATGCCTTGAGGGCATGGTTTGTTTTTTTGGTTTTTTGGTTTTTGTTTTTCTTTTTTGTTTTGCCTTTCTTTTGTATCCCAAGCCCAGTGCCTGGTGCATAGTCAGCACTTAGTAAATGTTTGTTGACTGACTATTTGAAGGGGGGGGCTTAGATACTGACTAGCCATACATGCTAAGAGGGAATCTAAACTAAAAGGGACCTCAGAGAATATAAGATATAAATAAATAAATAAAATAATAAATAAACAAAGAGATAGATAAATAAAATAATAAATAAAAATAAATAGTAATATTTATTAATATTAAAATAATATTAGTTAATTAATTCTGCATCCTTCCCTCTCTGCCTCACTGAAATACATTCGATAGAGCAGATATATTCATGAGATCTTTTCAAATGTAGTTAAATGGAGTCCTAGTTCTCCAGAGTAAATAGATTTGTTTTTTGAACATGCCAGGAAGAAAGGACCTTCTCCTTATGTGAACAGATAGGGGAGTGAGAAGAGGCTGTTGGTGAATGCCATGGACACATACCTGGAGAGGTGTGTGTAAACCAGTCCTCTGCAGAGATCGCTATCCCAAGGAATCTGCCCAAAGGCTTGTAGCTCCAGGGTTTCAAAGGCCCTCAGACGGCATCCTGTTTAACTTGCCTCATTTTACAGATAAGGAACTGAAGGTTAAGGGACCTGCCCAAGGCTACAAAAGTTGGGGGCATCAGAGGTGGCATTTAAACCCAGTTCTCTTGACTCCAGAATCAGTGCTCCAGGCATCATCCTGCCTATTGTGGACAATCTTCTGAAAATGATGAATCTGTTTTGGAGGGGCAGGGGTTAGGATGGGTGAGGGAGTTATCTAGACTTGTGACATTTTTGTAGAGGGAACCCTAGGTGTAGAAACTCCCTCCACCAGTGTCGACTGGCAGCACACCTATAATTCACACCTGTAATTAGGAAGTTCCCTGAAACGTTGAGAAGTTAAGAGATGACAGCACACGGGCATATCACAGGTGTGCATGATCAGAGGCAAGACTTGAACCCAGGTCTTCCTGACTCCAAGGCCACCCCTCTATCCATTAATGGTCCACACTGCCTCTCAATGAATCCTTTCAGAAAACAGTAAACAATCACACACCCATCCCTGCTCCTTACCCACTTTTTCTATTTGGGAAATTCAAGTTTTCCTCCATTCACCCTGTTGAAGGTGAAACACACCTGTGAAAGTGTCCTGGCAGACAAGGGAAGCCCATGATGAAAAGATGTTGATTTGAGGGAACCAGACCGAGGATATCTTTGTCAATGGCTTTCCCTCAGCACCACGAGGTATTCTGCTTAGCAAAATTGAACCTCAGTTTACATTGCTCTCATTTCCTTACCTGAGCAGAACAGTCAGAGTCTGGGGAGGTGTTGGGTTCGCTGCCTGGACACCGCCCCGTTGGCTTAATTCTCTTCTGTTTCTCTCTCTACTTGTGGTTGCAGGGCTTTTTCCGCAGAAGTATTCAGAAGAACATGATTTACACTTGCCACAGAGATAAGAACTGTGTGATTAACAAAGTCACCAGGAATCGCTGCCAGTACTGCCGCCTCCAGAAGTGCTTTGAAGTGGGGATGTCCAAAGAATGTAAGTCAAGTCACCAGGAGCATTTCTCTCCCTTGTTTAGCTTATCTCTGGCTGTGCTCTGCCGAGCATCTCGATGCGTGCCCCCATAGAGCTGCTGGCATGAAATATTCCCACATGACGGTAATGAGGTACCACCTAGAGTTAGGTGTCAACAGAGGTGACGTTAAGGTACAGCAATTGTTGGGATTTTTCTGGTGAAAAATTACTTTTAGTGTGAGATGGAGTTGGGAAGGAAGAAAGGCAGAATCTAGTCCCAGCTCCACCTCTGACTCACTGTGCCAACTCAGGCAAGTCTTTTAACCTCTTCTGTACCAGGGAAGGAGCGCTACGACCCATGCCTCACCCTCTGTCAGCTGTTAAGGCCATGAGCATATGGATGCCACTCCAGTATCAGCCCTCTGTACTATTATTTTCCCAGATTATATTTGCTGTTGCCATATCTTATACTGTCTAGTTCATCAGGACAACTATTGGCTCAGCCCCCACTCTGCTGCTGCCCGGGTTTCTTTGGCCTTCCCCTCATGGTCCTTCATTTGTCACCTTCACTCCAAGCTGTAATTTTCAATGTACGGTTTAATTAGCTTTAGTAAAGGCATAACAAAAACAGAAACATTGATTCTTGTAACATAGCCTGCAGATTTTATTTAATCCCGGGTTGAAAGTCTCCAGGCAGGAGAAAAAATATATATATCTGAATGAGTATCTGTTGTTTCTAGCCACAGTCCCATCAAAAAAGGTCTGGATCCTAGAACCAACTGTAAGAATCCATATCTGATGGACGTTAACATCTTGACTTCCAGCTGGAGCCTAGGACAGGGGCAGATGTAGTCTGAAGTGATAGTAGGTGTTGCAATTTGACGACCATGGCCACTCTTGCTCTCACTGGGGTCTGTCTATGGTCACTTCTTTCCCCACTGGCAAGTGTTCTAACTCCTGAAGTGATTAGTAAGCCATTGACTTATGCTGTATTTCTTTGTCCTACCTCTGTTGGGATGGGTGGTCCTTAGAGATTTCCAAAACTTAGGTGACCTGGAGTTTAGTGACAGGGATACTAATGCCAAGGTGTGGATATGGGGAATGGGGTGTTGCATTCAAAGAATAGGAAGTGTCTTAGGAGAGGTCCAAAGAGAGAGTGAGGAGGCTTCACATTAAGGATGGGAGGGAGCCATTGGCTGATGGGCTACAGAAAAGAAGGGGATCTGCAGGTTAACATTACTGGTCCAGAAGGAGGAAGTTGGTTGGTCTTTTGCTGAGAATTGCCTTCTAAAGCACTACTTCTGGCTGGATTAAGTGATCAGGGAAGAAGGGGGTAGCTCCTCTGGGAGAGATCTTTTCTGAGGGAGAGAGATCTCTCAGCCACAGTTCAGCCAAGGCTGATTCTCCAAAGTCCAACTCCATGCAAATTGTCAAGAGCCTGGTTCCATCTGCTCCTCCTCTGATGTCCTACCTGCTCTGATGCCCCAGCTATGTAGATGTGACCCTGGGTTCCTAAAGGCTCTGCTAGCTCTGGCAGCTCCAGAAGAAGGCTCTTTTCCCCTTGCAGCTAGACATTCCCAGTCCCAACCCCCATCTTATCCCCTTCTCTGTGGAACTCAGAGTCACTGCATTGGTGGAAAAGTTCAGAGAAAATGGCTTCCTAGGGGCAGCTAGGTGGAACAGTAAATAGAGGACCAGCCCTGGAGTCAGGAGGACCTGAGTTCAAATCTGGCCTCAGACACTTAACACTCACTAGCTGTGTGACCTTGGGCAAGTCACTTAACCCCAATTGCTTCACCAAAAAAAAAAAAAGAGAGAGAGAGAGAAAAGAAAAGAAAAGAAAAGAAAATGGCTTCCTGTGGCACCTCCTGACTACCAGAATCACCAGATGGCATCCAAGCCCAATGGGAGATTGGGGGAGAACAAAAAGGAGGGTAGAGCCTAGGTCCTTCTGAAGTATGTTTGAATAAGCAAAGTCAAGTCTAGAGTTCAATCAGTAATTTAACATGATGCCTTAAGCATATCATAGACATTTAATAAATATGAATATTTATTATTTTAGCCCAAAACATGTTCCACAAAAATGGGAAGGTCTTACCATGGATTAATTGGATTGTTTATCAACACCTAACCAAACTTATAGGATACTTGCCAAACCCATCATTTCACTCTGCCTGTATAGACACAGCCTCCTTGTACCTCCTGAGTATTTGCATATGTATTTCAGTCTTAGGCTACAGGGTTTTAATGAGTAATCCAGATGGGAACCCAACTGGAATCTTACATTTATTTTGTATGGGCTGGGGGCCCACATCCTGCTTCTTTTCCTCCAAGCCGTATCCTCCTCATTCTCTGAAAATGGCAGGTTTGTTGGCAGCATTCAGAAATGTTTCCCCCTACCCAGTAAGGTCGTTCCCTGTCTTCATTGAGCTTACCGCCTTCATTCGATTGAAAAAAATACAGACAATAGTGAGAAAATGGCAGTGGCCTAAACCAACCTGATTTCCTGAACGGATGTGAAGGGGAAGGAGAGAGAGCCATGGGAGGACTGTAATTTAGAGACTGGTCAAACACAAGAAAAGTATAGAAAAGGACAAATGGGGCAACTAGAAAAATCTAAAGATGAACAGTAGAAATAAGCTCTACAACACGCATTTATAAAATTGTAGGAATACGGATCTGGAGTTGGGAGGAAGCTTAGAGGCCATCCACTTTTTTTTTTTTTGGTGAGGCAATCAGGGTTAAGTGACTTGCCCATGATCAGACAGCTAGTAAGTGTCAAGTGTGTCTGAGGCCAAATTTGAACTCGGGTCATCCTGACTCCAAGGCCAGAGTTCTATCCGCTGCGCCACCTAGCTGCCCGTAGGCTGTCCACTCTTAACGCCTTCATGTTATAGGTGAAGAAACTAAGGCAGAAGGAGGCTAAGCAACTTTCCCAAAACTGTGCATATAGTAACTATCAGAGATATAATTTGAACCCCAGTCCCCCTATTCATTTAGTGCTCTTTCCATAAGTAGTTCAACCCCTTCATTTTTACTGATTAAAAAACTGAGGTTCAGAGAATTTAAAGCAATTTGTCCAAGGTTACGTAGATGATGAGGGAAGCTTTTCAGGTATAAAGGGCAGCCAGTACAAAGGTGTAGAGACAGGAGATGGGCAGGATTATGTACAAGGACAGTTTTGGTTGTATCAGAGCCAAAATTTGATACCCCAGGCCTCCATCTCCCAATTCAACTCCATTCCATGGCACCAGACAGAATGAGGTAGGATCTGAGACTCATCCCATCGCAGAATGTTTGAGATGAAATGGTACTTAGAGATCATCCAGTCCAACTCTATCATTTTATGGATAAAGAAACCCAGATCCATAAATAAGAAGAGACCTGTCCCAGGATACACAACTTGTTGGTGGAAGGTGGAGAATGAGAATGCAGGTGTCCCATATCCTAGTCTGATATTCCTTCCAGGACCCAGAAATGAGCCAACAGTTCTTGGTAACCATTTGGGTATTCTACTGTTCCATCTAGTCCTTCCTAGGGGGAGTGTTCTTAGTGGGACCAGGAACATGGGAATCAAGGAGAGATGGAGAATCTAGAATGATCATAACTATTTCATAGCATAGCACAAGGTTGAGTGAGCAGGAGGCAACATCTAAATTTTATGCTGTAAGAATTCAGTACTAAATAATAGACAATGGGCGAAGATAAACAAAGAGAATGGATTTGGTTAGTTGCACTCAAGGGCCTCACGAGCACACGTGAGTTTCAGGCCAGATTTGAGTGATGGAGTTCTGACTTCTAGAAGAGCCCAAATTCCTTTCGTGTGGAGAATTCCCTGTCCGCCTTTGTTAACCTCCATGGAATCCACAGGGAAATGGGCAGATGTGGAGGGAAGGGAAGGCGCCATGTTTGATTCCAAGGTTATGAACACATGACCGGGAGAATGATGGTACTGTTAACAGAAATAGGGCAGTATAGAGAAGAAGCAGATTGAAAAGGTGGAGGAGATGCTGAATTCTGGTTTGGACATGTTGATGTCCAGTAGCAAATGCAAATGGAAATGTCCACTATGGCATTGGAAATATGGGTGTGGCGCTCAGGGGAAAGATCAGGGCTAGAGATACGGATTAGAAAGTCATCTACGTAGGGGTGTCAGTTGAATCTATAGGACTAGATGAGATTGCCATTGCAAGGAGAAAAGAGAAGAGGGTCCAGGCAGTGAGCCCTGGGGGAGTTTGCAGTTAGGAAGTGGCATTAAAGGAGACAGAGAAGGAATAAATAGAGAGGTAGGAGGAAAACAAGGAGGATTATGTTTATGACAGAACCAGCAGGGGCAGCCATAAGGGATATATTGGAAGTTAGATTACAAGAGATGTGAGACAGTGAATTGTGGGGAGGGAATTGAGCTAATAATTGTAGATAAATCTTTTTTAGAAGTTCTGTGTTGAGAGGGAGGAAAGATGGGGCAGTACCTTGGGTGGCTGGGGCATGGTAGGATTAATGAATTGTTCTCTTAGACCAGAAGATGATTTGAGCATATTTGCAGGCAGAGGGGAAGGAGTCAGTAGATAGTGAGAAGAGAAAGAATGGACAACTGCTGGATCAAGATGCTAGAGAAGGAGGGATGGCATTCTGGATGCAGGTGGAGGGTTGGCTTTGGGCCTCCCTTCCTCTTTGCCTGAATTTGGAGAGGGGGACAAGACAGGTTAAGATCTAGAGATGTTTGTGGATACGGAGGCGAGAAGTTGAAGGAATTCCAATCCTTGTTCTCAAAAAAAGTAGGAGGGGGAACAGCTACTGAGCATAAACAGAGCAGGGGTCCAGTCGAACATTTCAGGACAATGGACGAGTCTGGAACAGATGCAGTGGAGAATGTGGTGGGCAGTTGATAAGAAATGAATCAAAAGATGGCTGAGCAGCATGAAGGCCCGTGGACTCTGAGTGCAGCGTTTTGGCCCAGGGACTTGGCTTTCTTGGGCAGAAATCTCGAATTTGAGAACGAAACAGAGAAAGCAGATGGCAGG